TTAGTCTCAAATCAGGGCTTTTTCTCATTCTGAAAATTCTGAACTCCTCACTTCCTCCTTTACTTTCAGCAGACAACACCCTACTTTAATAGAGGAAACAGAAATAATTAGAAAGGAATTTTCTCCTTTTTTCTTCACCCACCTACTTATTACTGTACTCATATTCTCCTTTTCTCTCTTGTTACAATAGTGTATCCTTTCTTTTGGCTAATACCCACCCACCCACTCCTGCTCTCAATTTTTGCCTCCCATGTTCTCAAGAACCTTACACTGTTCATTATACTTCTCTCTCTTACATCTGTATCCCTTTCTGCTGTGCTGGATTCTACCCATAATTTATTTGTTCCTTCCACAAATAAGTTAGAGTGTGTGCTATGTGGCTGGCCCTCTTCAAGGTGCTGTGGAGAAGGCAGTGAAGGGGAGAAATAAGGTCTCTACACTCGGGGAGCTTTCAAACATGCTCATACCTCACATGGTGAAGAAAACACAACAAAAAACTTTTCCCAGCCCCACTTCCCCTTCAGGTACATACTGTATTTCTTCTCACCATTCACTCACACTGCATACTCCACTCTAGTCTGGCTTTTTAGCCTATCGCATTGTTGAAGTGGATCTTGCTAAAGTCATCTGTGACATCCATGTTGAAAATCTAATGAACATTTTAAGTCTGTCTTATGTAGCATTTGACATTGAGACTATTCTGTACTTCTTGAAACACTGCCCAAGTAATCGTGAAGAGTGTGTGACTCTTAAGGGAAGAAACTAAGTGAGGCTCAGAGTTGAAATATATTGTCTAAAACCAGACAGCTAAGTGGTAGAACCAGTATCTGAACTGAGGTTTGTATGAATCAGGGTCCTAGGCATTTTTTAGTGTCTTGCTTTGATCCAAGACAGAAGTAATGGCACCTTTGTTGGAGCATGGTAGTGGCTGAGGAGGGAGTGCTATTTATGAAAACAGGAGATGGAGGAAGCATAGGTTTGGTGATAGGGAAAGAGAGTTGAGTTATGTCATCCTCACACAGGTAACTTACCTGAATTTTACCTGTCCATGGTTTGCAAAAGTAAAAGGAAGGTGATTCAAATAATGCAGGCTGTTTCATAAGTCTCATGAGACTTGGCACTATTTTAAAATTAGTCTTATAATTCAGGCTGTTCCTAATTTTGAGACCTGCTAAATTCTTTCATACAGAGTCAGGTAATAGGCACAGCTATAAACAGTGAGGCAGTGACTTAATTTATCACCACAGTTGGTTGGTCAGTTGAGCCTCCCATGACAGACAGATATAGGCTGCAACTTCAATTAAGCAGTTTGGTACAACCAGTCATTTTAACAAATTTATTTTTCCCAAACAAGCATTCTGTTCTAGAGGTTATAAGTCAATACTCCTTAGATTCATTATAAACAATTTTTTGATATTATAATACATTTGTAATGCCTTTCTTAGCAAACAGGATTAGGTGGAAACTCTATTAGGACAAAGTATAGAATAAGTGAAGGCTAAAGTGTAATTTTACTGTAATATAATGGCTATCTCAGGGCTTGCATTGTTTATATTTATTGTTTTTTTTGAGAGGAAAGAGCAGAGAGAGAGCAAAACATCAATTTATTGTTCTACGTACTTGTGCATTTATTGGTTGCTTCTCTATGTGTCCTGATGGGAGATCAAATCCAGAACCTTGACACATTGAGATGATGCTCTAACAAACTAAGCTACCCAGCTAGGGCTTCAGGGTTTGTATTTCTTAAAAAGATTTTATTTATTTATTTGTAGAGAGAGGGGAAAGGAGGGAGAAAGAGAGGGAGAGAAACATCAGTGTGTGGTTGCCTCTTGTGTGCCTCCTACTGGGGACTTGGCCTGCAACCCAGGCATGTGCTCTGACTGGGAATCGAACCAGTGACCCTTTGGTTTGCAGGCCGGCACTCAATCCATTGAGCCACACCACCCAGGGCATGGGTTTGTATTTTTGTAGCATTGTGTATATTGTCTCCCATTCTTTTAAAATTCTTTATTGTCAACTTTGTGGCCTGTGATTTCTGTTTTAGGAAAATTTTTAATCAAGAGTAAATGAAAAAATACTGTTCATACTATTCTACTTTCATACCAGGAAATAGGAAGTGTGACTCTTTTGTCCCTTTAGACTGTTTCACTGTCCTGTACTTCTCATAAATGTGAACATCTCCTCTCAAAATGTGTCTCTAGTGTTTACAAATATTTTTCATGTAATGTCCCTAAATGCAAGTGAACTACAGCATATGGTATTCAGCTGATGAAATAGTGATCTGTTCTAATGATGAAAGAAAAACTGGATAATGCAGTTGCAGAATTTTCTCTTGGGTGGCACTAATTTAGAATAAACTATATCTTACGGATTTGGCATTTAGGAGGTCAGTTAGAAGTAACTAAGATATCTGAGGAAAATAATGTAAAGCAGGGTAAGGGGCATAGGACATGCCTGTGGGGTGGGGGGTGAGGTTTACATTTTAAGTAATATGATTAAGTCTTATGGAGAGGTTAACAGCTGAGCAAAAATGTGAAGGAAGCGAGGGAGTTGGCCATGCACATATCTGGGGGAAGAGTGTTGCAGTCAGAGAGGAATAGCCAGTGCGCCAAGGCCACCGAGGAGGAGTGCCTGCAGTGTATGAGGAAACGCAAGGAGACCAGCGTGGCTGGAGCTGAGTGACAAAGAGGCAGAATGGTAGAAAATGAGGACAAGGTGGTAATGGGTACACCAGGAAATATGTAGGCAATTGTAGGACACTGTGGATTTCTAACTTTTATTCTTAAGTGTGATTGGGAACCATTACAGAGTTTTCAGCAGAGGCATGGCATGATCTGCCTTCACTTTTGGAAGGATTGCTGGATATGGGGTTGAGAACAGACTGTAGGTTGATAGCAGGCTGTTGCAGTGATCCAGATAGAAGTGGTGGTAGCTTTGTTGAATCGTGGTAGTAGTTGAGGTGGTAGTAAGAACTGAGCAAATTCTAGTTATGTCTTGAAGGTAAAACTAACAGGATGGTGAATTGGTTATAGGGTGTGAGAGTGAAAGGAATAAAAAATGTGCACAAGTGTTTTTTTAGCTTGCACACCTGAAAGGATGGAGTTGCTGCTGATTAAGATGGGGAAGCTTTGGGAGGCATTAGATTTTGTGGCGGAAATCAAGTGTTTGCTTTTGGACACGTTGAGTTTCAAATGTTTGTTAGGCAAGTGATACTCACCCAGGCTGGCATTGGTTCATGCGTTGTCTGTGATCAATGAGATAAGGAGCTTAATACTGAACGTAAATCATCTGTGACACTAAGCACATAGTGTCATTTTTTTCCCTTAATACTTTATCAGTAAAGGAAGCAGTGCATTAATCTGCATGCCAGCTCAAGCTCTTGTCTCCTTGTGAACAGGTAACAAATAGTTCATGGACAAGTATTCTGTGTATCACTGTATTCAGACATCCAAGTCAAATTGTCAGGTAGATAATTGATATACAATTCTGGAGTTTCGGGTAGAAGTCTTGGAGTAGAGTTTATTGGGTATGAGTTGGGAATGGCTAGCGTAGAGATGAGGTATGAAGCCACGGAACTGGATGAAATCTGCCAGGGAGCGAGTAGAGCTAGAGAAGAGAGAAGGACTGAAGACTTAGTCCATGGTATGCCAATATTTCGAGAGTGGGAAGAGGGGAAGGATCCAGCAAAAGAGACTGGGAAAGATTAGCAAGGAAGTTAGGATAGATGGGAAGAGTAGGAGTGTGAAGCCAAGTGAAGGCATTTCAAGGGGGAGGCAGTCAGGTAAATTGTAGGACCAAGAGTAGATCATTGGTGATCTTGCCAAAAGCAATTTGGGTGGGATGGTGTGGACAGTAATCCTTTTCAGATTCAGATAATAATTCTTCAACAATGAGGTTGAATGGAAAGAATGCTTACAAAGTACCTTTGATGTTCTAGGCATTGTGCTAAAAAATCTTGCAATTTTTAAAATACAAAACCCTGTGAGAGTAGGGGTGATGCATATCCTTATTTAACTGATGAGGAAATAGGCTTAGAGGTATTAAGATTTTTACCAAGGTTATGTAGCACTACGGAGATCATTCACACAGTGCTTTTCATTTTCAGCAACAGTTTTCAGTATTTCCTTCATATTCATTGCTAGGTACTGTTTGGTCTCGCTCTTTACTTAGAAGACACCAGGGAGAAGTCCCAATCTAGATCAAAAGGTGTAAGTGCAAAAGAATGTTTAGGGACATGCTGCCAAAGTGACATGCATGTCACTTTGAGCATAAGTCAAAGTGAGCATAAGTCACTGGACCACACCATGCACTGCAGTGTTTTGTTATGATACTTGATCTTTTATATCCTTCATATTAACAATGGTCTGAAGACTTCAGATCTTCATATTTTGCTTCTGTGTAGTCTTTCCTAATCTTTTAGTTAATCCTTTCAAATATTGTTATTTGGTACCTGTTTATGATTTCCTTTGCAAAAATTGCATAAGCATATTGTGAAATTTTGTTTCTACTCCTTGGAATGTTGAATTTAATTCTATTGCAGTCACTTTTATACAGTTGTTTCCTCTTAAGAATTTCCTCTGTAATAGTTCTACACTTCATTCTTTATTATCAAGTCTAATGTATTCACTTCCCTAGAAGCTGTCCATCAAGAAGTTTATCCTAGGAAATCTTTTTGTTTCCTTTCAATGCCTTCCTTTTCCTTTGAGTCCCCTAGGAAAAGTTATCGAGTTTGGGGGGCTAATCAAAGTTTTCCATTTTTCTCTCTCTATGCTACACTTCATAGCAGGACTAGTGTTGGGCTAGGCAGTCTACAGTTATTAATAAGTTTCCTTACTTAAGTGCAGGCCTCCCATAGTATTTCTCTAACCTAGTAAAATATTTATGCTTTGACAATCATATTGTCCTGAGAATATATCTCTTTTTTGCCTATAGAATCTGAATCCTGGGAGGATTACATACGACACAGTTTATTGACAGCAGATTTTTATTTTTATTTACAGATGTTCGTACACAAGCCATGTACCAGATGATGGATCAAGGCTTTGTAGGACTTATTTTTTCCTGTTTCATAGAAGATAAAAATACGAAGGTATTGTGTGTGTGCACACATGTGCACATCTATATTGTGTGTGTGTGTGTGTGTATACACGCACAGAATAGAAAAGAATCATTTTGTAATTTTGATAGGGTGGCCAGGGAAGGTTTCAGTGAGAAAGGTCATTGAGTTAGGACCTGAAGAAAATGAGGGAGGAAGTCTTGTGGATTTCTTGGGGGAAGAGTGTTTCAGGCAGAGGAAATAGTCAATGCAAAGACTCTGAAGTGAGTGTGTCATGTTCAGGGGACATCGAAGAAGCCAGTGTGGCTGCAGCAGAGTGAGGAATACTGTGACCATATGTCCCAGTTTTCATCCATTAGTCCCAGTTTTACTCCATTATCCCAGTCTCCTGTTCAGGTAATTCACTTCTTGGAAGTGTCCTGATATGTACCATAATTCATTTGGTCATGCTACATGGAGGTGTGAAAGATAACTAGGGCCAGATCTTGTATGTAAGGCCTTGACTTTGAGTTGAGAAACCACTAGAGCCACAATTTTCCACCTTTTTCATCTCATGGTGCACATAAACTAATTATTAAAATTCTGCAGCACACCAAGAAATATTGTTTTGCCCATCTGAAAAAGAATAGGTATAATTTTGATTCATTCATACTGGACAGCTGTTGTTGTGTTGGCTGTTGTAATTTTTTAATTTGACAATTTAGGGGAAAAGAGGTCAGTGCCCCTGACTAAATAGTCAGGTATTGCATGTTTTAAAAATTCTTGCAGCACACTGCTTGAAAATTGCTAGGCTAGAGAGTGATTTCATATTTTAATGGGATGTTTCTGGTTACTGTGTTAGTAATAGATTAGACAGGAGGTGGGGTTGGGAGCATGGGGAGGGAGGAGGTTATGGAGTCCACAGTATATGTGAAGGCAGTTAGGAGGATATTGGAGTAATTGAGAAAGAGATGATGGAAGTTTGACCAGGGCGGTAGGAGTGGAGGCAAAGAGAAGTGGCCAGATTCTGCATATATTTTGATGGCTAATAATAGTAAAAGGTGCTACCATTTATCACCTGTTGTATGGCACACACTCATTAGGTTTTTTACCTAAGTATGCTCTAACTCTGACAACAAGCCTCTGAGGATTATTATGCATATTTTACGGATGAGCAAACTGAAGCTCAGAGATGTTAAACAACTCGATCAATGGCTGGTTTTGCCTTTCTGTATTTAGAGTACTTCTTTTTGAATTTTATGTTCATGTCAAGAGATTTGGTATGTGTCAGTTCAAACAAAAAAATTACTTTTTAACATTGTAGGTATGAATTTTGCCAAAAATATCAAGTGTGTTCTATCTTTAGTACATTAGTTAGAGTCTCAGAATCTGTGTTAACAATAATTATTCTTCAAGAAATCACTTTTCCACAAACACAGAAGTTCAGTATTTTGAACTTTATACTTCATATGAAATGCTTTTGGTTTTGTAATGATAAATTTATTTGTTGTTATTATAAAACGTTGTTGAAAAAGTTTGTCAGCTTCCAACAAAGCAGTTTGAATACTCTGGTTCTCAGTTTCTTGGTCCTCATGTTTGTGAATAGTTCTCTGCTTTCACGTGAGCAGATACTTGATTTTAGCCATTCCATGTTGGGTTAGTTACATGATACTTCTTACAGAAACTGATTCATGGTATATTCCATGTTTGTAATCTCTTTCAAACTTCCACTTTCAGAGTGGCCTTTGAGTTTTAGGTTAGAGTCTAGTAAATTGCTATACATTTTTCAAAATTAATCCTTCTCTGTGTAACCTTTCTTTTTTCTTATTTATTTATTTTTTGTAGACTGGCCGGGTACTGTACACTTGCTTTCAATCCATTCAGGCCCAGAAGAGCTCAGAGTAAGTATGACAGAGATGCAGGTATGTATTGGTGTGTTAATCTCTAGTCCTGGAACTTGATTGTTTTGTTTCATTTTATTTCTCTCACCGGTAAGACACTGAGAATTCTGTAGTCTACTTATATCCATTAACATCTCTGTAAGGAGTTAGAATCTTTTTAATATCTTGGATATTGGGGACCTAGAGAGCTGGGATCATATAAACAGTCTTTTCATTGCAATTACATCATCACAGCCCAGTCCTGCATTTCCTTTCTTGCAATTATTCTGAACAGAGTTGCAGTGCTGCTTTTTCTTCTTACCGGTGAATTATAAAACAAAGACTGAGGATGCGGAATACTATAGATTTGTATAGACACACTGTTTTTGCTGTTCCATAAACTTGATTTTAGAATTATATTATCACATTCAAATGTTAAATGAGGTTAGTTTTCTCATTTAAAGTCAATTCAACTTAAATTAGAAAATCGTAATATATACTCTATGCTAAGCAGTATGGTAGGCAGTGAGGATGAAAAGATGAAAGCAAAGTTCATTATCTAGTTGGGAAACAGAAGCAAAGACTATCTTAATTTTTTTATAATAATTGTTAATTTATTTTAATAGCATTATAGCATTGCTTGAAATAGTAGTGAACTGGAAAAAAACGGATGTCTGTCAGTAGAGAGTGATTAAGTAAAGTATGCATCCAAATAATGGATTAATGTGTAGTCATTAAAAAATGTGAGGAAGCTTGATAGTAATACAGAAATAGCTCCAAGATACATTTGTTAAATAAAAAAGGTGAGGTACAAGAATATTATATATAGTATGCTACCATTTGTGTAAGAATATGGAGGGAAATATATACATGAATATACCAGTATACTTGCTTATAGATACATAGAACGTATGAAAGGAAACACCATAGGAGAGAGGAAGTGGGAATGAGGAAGTAGGGGGTGTGGAGACTTTATTATCCTTTATATAGCTTTGGGATATCGAACCATACAAAAGTGTTCCTTCATCAAGTAACTTTAATTTCTACAATTTTCATCAAAGTAATGGATGCACATGAATAAAAATATCCAATGGTATGGAAGAACTTAGAATAAACAGTCTCAGTCAAAAGGAACCACTTCTTTCTCCTAATTCTGTTTTTAGTTCTCATGTTATTTTGATATCTCTAAATATACTTTTGATATCCTTTCTTAATTTACTAACTTTAGATAATATCTATTCTTATTATTACATTATCTTGCTCTCACAAATGAAGGTTTACTTGCACTGCCCCATCTTCATTTTGTTTGGGGCACTTTTATTACTACTTTTCATTTTTCTGTTGGTTACTTTTCTAATCTTAAATGAAGTTTACCCTTTTTATTTATTTTATCAACAACAGACAATGGGCAATGTCTTTAGGCTCCCTACTGTTACTTGCAGTTTTACCACAAACCTTTATGTTTTCACAGTTGCAAATAATTGTGTTCTGTGTTGTAAAAATAATTGTGTAAAAATAATCTGTGCTTCATCTACTAGTTGATTCTAAGAGTAGAAAATAAAGCATTTATATTATGATTATGTAAATATTATTCCATGTAAAACCAAGCAGTATAAAGTGATATACTTTGATTCTATTTTCTTTCTTGTATATCTTGCTTTTTCATAAGGTTTTGGAATGGCTTTCCCCTCTTTAATTTTCTGCCTTTATCACCTTACTGAGCTCCAAATTCTTGGGAGTAATATAAAATTCTTTGGATTCCCTGCTTTTCCTAGGATTGTTCCCTGAAACCCTCCTTCTTCCTGCCCTAATCTGGTCTCAGTTGATGTCCTGGCACTTTCCTTCATTATCCTCCTGGGTTGGATCTGTTGTTGTCTGGCTTTCATGTGACCTTTCTTGGTTGACTCTGTCATTTTGCTGTTAAAGACTTCTAGTAACTTCCTAAGAAATGTGCACATTTGAACTAAACCTTCTGAGCCTGTGCTTGTCTGAAAAAAATTATTCTTTATTAATAACCTTAATGGAGAAAGAATTCTATATCAGCATTTTCCCTCTCAGAACCTTAAAGGCATCATTTCATTGTTTTTAAACATCCAGTGTTGTTGATGATTCAACCAGTCCAATTCTTATTCTTTTGTAGGGGACTTTTTTTTCCTTCTCTGACAGCTTTTAAGAACTTCTGTATTCTTGAGGTTGTGAAACTTTCTATGATACAGCTAAGTTGTGGTTATTCTATGATTGAAATTGGCAGATCAGACAGCACTTCTCCTTCAGCTCTGGGAAATTCTCTACTATTGTTATTTTCCTGTATCCCCAGGTAGAACAATCCATAACCTACCTACTACCTGGGAAGAAGAAATACTATTTATAATTCAATCCAATCCCATAATTTAAAGATCCTCCAAGTTTAAATCACTCCGGGGGATAATTTCCCAATCCTTTAGTTGCTTCCCTTTCTCCTGATGTTTGACTCCATAAGATGGCATCTGCAGTGTTGGGGAGGTGATGTAAACAACCTTATGCTGAAGAGAAAGACTTCCTGGTGTTGTGCTGGTTTTAAGAGTCAGGGCAGCAGTCCTTCTATTCATAGTCAGTGCTCACCTTCACTTAGCCAATATACTTTTTTAAAAAAGATTTTATTTATTTATTTTTAGAGTGAGGGGAAGAGAAGCAGAAGGAGAGGGAGAGAAACATCCATGTGTGATTACCTCTCACATGGCCCCAACTGGAGACCTGGCCTGCAACCCAGGCATGTGTCCTGACTGAGAACTGACAACCCTTTGGTTTGCAGGCCAGCACTCAGTCCGCTGAGCCACAACAGCCAGGACCCAATATACTTCTCTGGCATGGACTTCATGCCCCAACATAAAGTGATACATTAACAGCTTCATCTCTCATGACTTTTTCTGTCCATGTCCACTAAATTAGTAGAACAGATGTGTCATGTCCTTTTCTCTATTCTTTTTTAAATGTATTTTATTGATTATGCTATTACAGTTGTCCCATTCCCCCCCTTTATTCCCCTCCACCCTGTACACCCCCTCCCACCCGCATTCCCGCACTTTAGTTCATGTCCACGGGTCATATATATAAGTGCTTTGGCTTCTATATTTCCTATACTATTCTTAATCTCCCTCTGTCTATCTTCTACCTACCATTTATGCTACTTATTCTCTGTACCTTTTCCCCCTCTGTCCCTACCCACTCTCCTGTTGATAACTCTCCATGTGATCTCCATTTCTGTGATTCTGTTCCTATTCTAGCTGTTAGCTTAGTTTGTTTTTGTTTTAGGTTTGGTTGTTAATAACTGTGAGTTTGTTGTCATTTTACACTTCATATTTTTATCTTCTTTTTCTTAGATAAGTCTCTTTAACATTTCATACAATAAGGGCTGGGTGATGATGAACTCCTTTAACTTGACCTTATCTGGGAAGCACTTTGTCTGCCCTTCCATTCTACATGATAGCTTTGCTGGATAGAGTCATCTTGGGTGTAGGTCCTTGCCTTTCATGACTTGGAATACTTCTTTCCAGCCCCGTCTTGCCTGCAAGGTCTCTTTTGAGAAATCAGCTGACAGTCTTATGGGAACTCCTTTGTAGGTAACTGTCTCCTTTTTCTCTTGCTGCTTTTAAGATTCTCTGTTTATCTTTAATCTTGGGTAATGTAATTATGATGTGCTTTGGTGTGTTCCTCCTTGGGTCCAACTTCTTTGGGACTCTCTGAGCTTCTTGGACTTCCTGAAAGTCTGTTTCCTTTGAGAGATTGGGGAAGTTCTCCTTCATTATGTTTTCAAATAAATGTTCGATTTCTTGCTCTTACTTTTCTCCTTCTGGCACCCCTGTGATTCTAATGTTGGAATGTTTAAAGATGTCCTGGAGGTTCCTAAGCTTCTCATGTTTTTGAATTCTTGTTTCTTATCCTGTTCTGGTTGAATGTTTCTGTCTTCCTTCTGGTCCACACCATTGATTTGAGTCCTGGTTTCCTTCCCATCACTGTTGGTTCCCTGTATGTTTTCCTTTATTTCACTTAGCATAGCCTTCATTTTAAAATCTAATTTGCAACCCTATTCAATCAATTCTGTGAGTATCCTGATTACCAGTGTTTTGAACTGTGCATCTGATAGGTTGGCTATCTCTTTATCGCTTAGTTGTATTTTTTCTGGAGCTCTGATCTGTTCTTTCATTTGGGGCTTTTTTTTTTTTTGGTCTCAGTGCACCTGTTATGTAGTAAGGGCAGAGCCTTAGGTGTTCACCAAAGTGGGGTGACCCACATCGCTGTGTTATGACACTGTATGTACGGAAGGGGTTCGAGAGGGAACAATGCCACTTGCTCAGCTCTCTGCCGGCTTTCAGTCACTTCCCCCGCTACCCACAATCAAATTGGACCCTTGTGCTGATTCCTGGGTGGGTGGGTTTGTGTAAATTCTAGGACCCTGTGGGTCTTTCCAATGAACTCTCCTGTGAGGCTGGGAGTTTCTCCCACTGCAGCCTCAACCCCCACAGGTGTTCTCAATCAGAGGTTTGAGGCTTTATTTCCCTGCATCGGAGCTCTGGGTTGTGTAGTCTGTCTTTGCTCCCCAGTTGGTCCTCCCAATTTATCTGCGTGTGAATATGGGACCACCCAGTCTGCAGTCCACCGCCTTGCCCACCCCGATCCTGCAGCTGCTGTCTTGCCAAGAGTACTTTCTGTCTGGCTGCCCGTCTCCACCCCTCCTACCAGTCTGGATGAATATTCCTTCTTTAACTCCTTGGTTGTCAGACTTCTATACAGTTCGATTTCCTGTCAGTTCTGGTTGTTTTTTCTTTTTAAATTTGTTGTTGCCCTTCTTTTGGTTGTGTTAGGAGGCACAATGTGTCTACCTATGCCTCCATGTTGGCTGGAAGTTTGAATGGCCCTTTTAAAAGATACATGTTACTTTTCTCTGTCCCTTGATAATTCCTTCCCCTGTATTTCCTTTCTCTTTCTGGTACTATTAGTCAGATATTAAAGGTCCTAGGTTGACCACAGTGACCCTTTTAAGT